CACTCTTAAGGCTTTTGTTTTGAATAAATAATACAGCACAAATTCCAAATAATAAACTCAAAGCAATATATTTACATTTTTGTTGATTATTATTTGCACAATTATACAAATATATATATTTTTTTGATATTGCTAGAGCATGATATTTTATCTTGTTAATAATATTTGCTGTGAAATCCGATTGTTATTTTATGGTATATTGCATTTTATTTTAAATTTTATTTTATTAATAAAAAAATCTATAATAATTTTCTTACGTAATTGTATTTCATAAATAACACTTATTCTATATACAACAAAATACACAAATAAAATAAAATAAAAATTATACTGGCACTTTGCTTTTGGCCACTTGTTTTGCTGTTGTTTTTTACTGATGCTGTGGCAGTATCATATATAACACAGTCAAGCCAACAAAGCTTGAAACGAAAAAATTGCAATTTACACAGAAAAAAAAAAGAAACAAGAGGGAAAGAGATGGCAGTGTGAGATAAGGCCGTTGGGCTTCTGATTCTCAGACAGTAGGTTGATGATAAGAATGGCATCTTTCACAGTCAGATCAGCCAATCTGGCCAGGCGTCCGCGGCAGCTTCTGTATTGTGGAGGGGACTTCCAGGTCAGGAGCAGAAGAATGGGGTCAGTGAGTGTGGCAGAGAGGGGGCCTGGGGCAGGTGGCGAGTCGCTATTGAAAGAGACAGGCTAGGGCGGCAGGGAGAGCGCTGGGTCACGGGAACGGCTCCCCGATCTATAGGCGGCTCAAAAACACCTCTCATTGTTCGGGGAGATCATGTGGCACGGGCTCCTCCTCGAGCGCGTCAGGATCCTTCTGTCTTGAATGTGCGCAGTATCTCTGACAACAAGCCACCTTTATGCCCATCCAGGTAATTACAGACCACGGGTGAGGATCCATTACTGCTGGACGCAGGTAGAGTCCAGGTGCCCGGTCTCTGAGCGCTCAGCCATGCTAGGAGAGGAAACCAGGGGAGCGATCAGGCCTGTCCCACTGGCCTGAAGGCATAACCAGCACAGAGGAGCGCACTATACCACACTAAAACACAGAGATGGCTTTGTCTTACCATTCACACACACGCACACACACACACTCTCTGCACCTGAGATGAGGGCTGTGTGAGGGCAGTAGATAAAACACATGGCACACACTCTGCCGGTGATAAGTATCGGTGAGAGGAATTTTACAGTCGCAATGTGATAACGGCAATCAGCACTGACCACCACCATGACTGCACTAATGTAGGCAACAAATGTAGATTCAAGTAAATATTTGGTACTAACTATACCACTGAATACAATGAAATAATAAATGAAAAAAAAAATTATGATTAAACATTTCCTCCTTCAATTTTTGTGACTAAAATCACATGCCACATGTTTCAATCGCACCCTGACACCACAGAAATGTGAACTCCAAATGCATTTAGTTACTGCTATGTTTGTTTAGGTGGAAACATGTGGGAAATATTTTACATATTTGTTGAGTTGTGGAAAAAAAAAAGAAAAGAAAAAAAAAGCACACACATATAAACTATGGAACGATATTCCGGACAATTTTCAAATAGAATAGCAAATTGTATTTTCAATTGCGTTTTCCATATGTGGACGCATAAATTGTGACATAATCCAAATGCAATTGCAAATCCTGCATTACCGTTTGCATTTTCGCTTTCGCGAACGCACAGTGACTGCCAAATTTCAAATGAAAAAGCAAAGTCCATTTGCAACTGTATTTCCCATGTCTTAGGAGTTACGAGCCTGTCATATTTAAATAGCAATATTATACTCTATACTTTTAAAAATATATTTTTTTCATAAACTTGATTTAATCATTTTAATATTATATTGAATTTTCTATTATTTTCTTCTGTGTTTTATGAAAAAAGGCATCTGAGAAAAAATATTTTATTATGTTTTTTTATTTCTTTCTTTATATTTTATTTTTGATTATTTAATATTAATACACTTGATTTAATTATTTTATTTATTTTCTACTCTATAATTTTCTTCTGTGTTCGGGGGGGGGGAGGCTCTTTGGGCATCTGAGATAAAACGTTTACTTATACATCAATTTTTCTCTTTTTTGGTATTAATTCTTTTCTTTTTTTTTTTATTTAAATTATTTTATAGTTTTTTGTTTTTTTCATTTTATTTTACTGTATTTTAATTCATTTTGTGTTCTGGAGGAGAAAAAAAAGGACCCTTTTAGGCATCTAAAATACATGCATAATGGTAAATTCTAGACTGAGGAAATCTCTCGACGGATGTTTTCTTCAGTAGACAGTTTTTATATCGTTTTCAATTAAAACCGTGTTGTTACATCGCAATTCCTAATAAAGTTACTGACCAACCAGTGAGTATAGCTTCAGTTACTTGTACTCATATTTGGTACTTTAAATCCATACCCCACCATAACAACAATATAGACTCAAACAGATGAGCACAAACAAAAACATGCGTCATCGCCCCCCCAACAGAAAGCAAGACACACTTGCAGCTATCAGTCAAGCTTCTTCCAGAACGTGATAGCAAACTCACAACACGCCAGCATCTTTCGTGCACTGTCGCCCGCTCATCTCCTGATCTCCGACAGGCCCCTGCCACCCCGCCACGCCACACACATAACAACCGGGCCAGGAAGGAAAAGTGCTCTCGCCGAACAAATTACGGGGTGTTTCTGCTACTGAGTCATAACAAAATACAATCAAAAGAGACTTGTGTTCTTGCTCGCTTTATGCTTCAAATAGATAAAGCGCCTCCTGTCTTCTCTCGCACAATGCGCTGTGTAGTCTAGCAGGGCCAGGGTGACGCTCCGGGGACCAGATAGGAGTATCGATAATGCTGGCTGCATGTCCGATTGATTTTGGGAAGCTGAGACAGTGGCTGTGTGATTCTTTCTTTCTCCTGATACGCTGTGTCAAGCAGACGGGCGCTGCTTATGATGGGTTTAGTGTCAGCACACACATCCGGCAGAAATGGCCACATGGAGCCAGCTCCCTTAGGGGTGGTATATAACACAAAGGACACCACATAAACACACACAGCACAGTAACATTGATATATAATGGCCAAGAGGCTCTGATATCCTCATGTGATCTTTCTGAAGCACTTACTCTACAATGTAAAGACCACAGATCTGTTGTAAAACCTAGAGGGCTGCCTTGCTGTCTACATGTGGTCATATAAAGCTTTAAGCACACACAAATACTGTACACATAGCACATTCAAGAGTTTTAGGCAAAATCATTTAATTATTGCATTTACTATATTTTTTTATTCACATCTTTCAGTATCTAATGAATAAAAACTTTTTATGCGAATCAACATTTGCCCACAGTCAAGACTGTCATAATGCATTCTGCGATTGACTTCTCCACAAAGGATAATGCTGACTTAGAATGTGGCCAGGCAAGTTGATACTTATCATTTATTTGAATCATAATAAAATAAATTAAGTTTTAATTAATGCATTTATTTTATTCTACAAATTTTTCAAAACAACAAAGTTCTGGAGAAAAGAGCAAAAAAACATTTCTTTCTTTGTCTTTCTTTCTTTCTTTTAAATATTTTATTATATATATATATATATATATATATATACACACACAAAATAAAAACAAAAAAAATAAATATGAAAAATAAAAATAAAACGTAAATATTTTATTTATTAATTATTTTATTTTATTCTACATTTTAGTCAACACGTTAATCTCTGGAGGAAAAAAATGCAGATGTCTTGGGCATCTGAAATAACCATATACATAAATGCTGGCTTTAGGGCAATTAAGTTGCCTTAAAAATGCCTACTTAGTGTCTACTTAGGCTCACTAGGTATTGGAACAGAATGCACGTCAATGCAAGCAGACATAAAACTGGGCAAATGGGCGAGACCGTCTAAACCGGGCCTAAACAGAAAACAAGACAGAGACACTGTCCTACAGGACAGCATCAGATCCTCCAAGACAGCCGGGACTAGAGAGAGACATCGCGGTAGAGGAGATGCGTCTGCTGTGCGGTCTTTTGAAGGCACAAAGACAAAGCGATGAGCACTGATAAGAGGAGGCGCCACACTGCTTGAAGCCCTGAGAGCTGAGCAATCACACACAGACTGATAAGCATCGGCCCATAAAGACGACTCCGGCAGCTCTCTTCCAGACGGGCCGGAGAAGAGAGAAAAAGAGGGAGGGGAGCTGTGTGATAAAGATGGTTACTTTCTTTCTTTTAGAGGTGAGGGTTTAAAGGAGGGGCGACGTGAGATGATGGCAAGACAGTTTTCTTGACAGGAAGTCACTAGATGCAAAGGAACAGCAGGTATGTCTGAAGACACCGCAGAGTGTCAGTGCAATCTCAAAGATGAAAACTCCTGACAGTGCCATGCAGCTAATGTGTGTCTACAGGCCAAGCACTAAACATCACAACAGTCAACACGGCCTACCTTCTACTGACAAACCACATTTCAGAGCGTTGCAAATGCGGTGCTTTGATTTCAATGAAACATGAAAGACTGTGCCGTACACATGTATGTGTGAGTATACACCGCAAAATATCACTTTGCGACTGAAAAAGAGCAGTGTACTTTGATTCCCTGAAATTGATTTTCTCTCTTGTTTTGTTTAGACTGTATAACTACATATATGGAGGCTCAAAATGGAGAGAAATCTTTTAAAAGTACAAGCTTTTGTTGATTGGATTATCTTAACATGACAACTGGAGGAATGGAAAAAAAGGGGAATCAAAATCCCTTTAAACAACATCCATCTAATCTAACGCAAAGGTCACAATAAGCCTATTTACCAAATGTAGACTGCTGATAGTTTTTCAGCCGGGTTGTAACGGTTTCTGTGTAACATACCATGAAGTTTAAAGTGTCCACATGCTCAGCAAAGAAAGTTGAGTCAAGCTAGAGAGGATTCTTGCAGATTCGTCATACTGGTAACTGTTGTTTGTAATCCTGTGGGAAAAACCATAAGGGCAGCCAGCGGTCTTACCTGAGCCGGTATCTATGACTGTCGACTGGCCACTACGGTCGGCCACCAGGCGAGAGGAACCAGGCATGCTAACGGGTTCTGAACGCACTGGCTGGATCCTGCAACACAAGGACAAGAGATATCCAAAAATTGTGAATTAGACCCCTACACATTACATTTACATTCACTTTTATCCAAAGCGACTTTCTGTACAAATGAGGATAACAGCAGCAATCAAAACCAACAAAAGAGCTGTGACAAGTCTCAGTTAGCCTAACGCAGTACATGTAGCAAGGGTTTTTATTATAATAAATAAAAAAAAAACAAGAAGATAAAATAGAAAATGAATAGGAAATGCTAGTGTTAGTGGGTCTTTTTTTAAATAAAAATAAAACAAGTCAAAAGAATAGAAAAAGCATATAGAATGCTAGAGTTAGAGGGTCATTTTTTATAACAAATAAAAAGAAAACAAGTATATAGAATATAAAAAGAATAGGCAATGCTAGTGTTATAGGCTTTTTTTAAGAAAACAAGTAGTTAGAATAGAAATAGAATAGAGACTGCAAGTGTTAGAGGGTCAAGTGTTTTTTAAAGAAAAAAAGAAAAAGAAAACAAATAGATATGAAATAGAATTAGAATATAGAGTGCTAGAGTTAGAGGATCAAATGAAGATGAATGAACATTACACTAGCATTAGCTACAATAGCATGCGTGACGACAGTTAGCGATGTGAAGTGTGAATTTAGAGGGTCTATAAATCTCGTTTAATGACATGGTATGCTGATTAATACAGAATTTAAATATTAATTAAACATTTCTCAATATTTGCTGTAAAAACGCCACCAAATTTTGAAATTATAGAAAGATAAAATGATAGAACAGAGACAACAGAGACAGACAGGGAGACATCCAGAATGATAAAACAACAGACAGACTGACAGAATGACAGATGACCGATAAATTGACAGATAAACAAATGATGAAACGAATGATAGATAGAGAGATAGCAGTGTTCGTGCAGTGCAAGTGCTGGCTACAGTTGGTCAATATGTGTATTTAGTGAATTTCTGTGGTTAGTAACATGAGTCTATGCTGTCACATTGTGAATTGGGTGTTGATGATGGCAGCTGGTAATGTGAGCAGCATTTTGTGTGAATGTGTGTGTTTAGTGTCGGCACCTGAGGCTGTGCAGGTCCAGGTCGTCTGTGTCGAAATCAAGGAGAGGCTGCTGGGTGTCGCTGGGCCCCTGTGACTGCAGTACAGAGGAGCTGGAGGAGATAACAGTGGTCTGACCGGACGGATGGATGGTCTTGAACTGAAACTGAGGGCCCATCCAGAGTCTCCTGTGAGGGCCTGTGTGGGTCACAATCTCCACCTGTAAAGTATAACGCCAATAGAGATGAGCACTTAAACAGCTTTTGCAACAAATTTAACTTCAGCAAAGTGATATATTTTTGAGTGCACAATAGTCAGGAGTATCAAAGAGGACTTTATTCTATGCATCAGGATTTTTTTTTAAATTTATTATTATTTTTCTCCACTCGCACAACATCAACAGTTATAACAATCACAATTCGCAATGCGAAACATTTCTTATTAGAACAAATGTTTTCAACTGGTAGACATATATGATTTTTTTTAAAATAAATAATAATAATAATAATAATAATAAATGTTCCTAAAGTATATATTCATATTATATCTATTTCACATTTTTAATTATTAAAATTATTAACTATTTTATATTATTACTGGGGGTCCATGTACAGGTACAGTATATATAGCATTTAAAGAAAATAATAATAATAATAATAATAATAATAATTTTTCTTAAAATATTACATTTTATCTGCATTCCTAAATTTCGTATGACTATTAAAATTATTAAGTGATAAAAAAAATAAATTTGTGATGTTCCATTTTGTTGTCTTATCACTTAGCACATCTTCGAAATCTAATACATGAAACTTAACTGAAAAACACTTTATAATAGCTGAAACACATAATTAATATCATATAGTGCTGTCAAATGATTAATTGCGAATTAATCATCCAAAATAAAAGTTTTTGTTTACATAATAATAAGGACTCTTAAACTGGGGTTGTTGTGACACCAACAGCTCAAATATGCACAAAGAAACACACACACACACACCGTGTGGACAAGTGTCTGTTTTTGACCAGCAGTATCAAATCTGGGGAAGGGAAGGGGGGTTAGACAGACGCCACTCTTCCTCCCCAGTGGACCGCATTAACATGGCACAGAAAGACACTAACATCATGAAGCAAGAGAGAGGGAGAAGTGGAGAAGACCAGCATCCCTCTCTCCTCTTAATTTCTCCATCTTTTCTGAAAGAGCATGGTGTGGGGTCAACTCTTCTGTCCTCTTCCTGTCACATCTGTGTAGATGAGGCCAGCGGTATGTGTGTGTTTTTTTCTCTGTAGGTAACACCAACGGTGCCGCACAGCCCTGAGAGAAACAGATGCGGCGCTGTCTTTTTTCTGCTTTCGTGGGGGCCATGGCCAGATGTTGCCCCCCTCCGCACTTCGCCTTGAGCCCGCCATATTGCGGCCGCCTCACACTGACAGCGCTTATTACACACAGCCTGCTGCCACAGCACTCAAAGAGAACTGTGTTTTTTATGCTATGTTGCCACGTAACAGACAAGCAAACTAATTGCAATCACATATAAAGCAGATAAATAGAGCCATCAACAGGGTTTAGGCTGTGTTTAGCCAATAGCTGTCGCTGCAAGTGTTAATGGTGTCATTAGGCAGGCGGGATGTGATGGGGAAGTAAAATCAGGCAATCATGCATAATATTTTGGATGACAAAAGTTGGGAAAAAAAGGATAAAAATGTGACCAGATCCATGATGGGTGAACACAGCTGACAATGGGGTAAGCAATTATTTATGACTTATACCAGCAACAATTGCATTAACTGATGCATTAACACTCACCTGTGAGAGCCATTCTTCGTCCTCCTGGCCACTGTGATCGGATGCCAAACTGTCATAAGACTCATGTCGGGTAATGGGGCCAGGGCTGCCAGGAGGAGCCACTGCAAAGAGACAGAAAATAATTAGTTATGTACCAAAATATATATTTCAGATTAGTTATGTACTAAAAATAAATAAATAAATGTCACCTTGCTAACAATAAAGAGTAAACAGCAAATTATGATGACTCTGTAAGAAGTGCAGGGTACATCACTTTTCATAAAAGCATCAATAAAACACCCCACTTAAGTAATTAACATTTTTGGGCTATGGAAAGCCAGCAAAAATGTTCACAGTATGTTTTGGTATGTGAGCAACAGCAGAACAGATGAAAGAGTGCAGAGCTGTCAGCAGCAAAGACAGCACGGGCAGTGACAGATGGAGCACTTGGAGGCTTCGCTAAGCAGGCGCCAAGTATTCAGACTAATGTGCACAATCAGTGGTTTCCCTTCCCACCTCCAGGCAAACACATGCCTTTGTTACCAATGTACATAATACAGCAGTGAATAATAAAGATGTCAAGCCCTCATCTGGAGGACACAAGGAGCCCGTCGCTCTCGTTGCCTCTTCTTCTCTCTATCTGTCTCGCAGACATAAGTGCTCACACACCAGGTGTTCAGACACACTTGATGAGGTGTTCCTGCCAGGTTCATGGAGCAGTCACTACTGTGTGAGTAACAGATACACCGACACCTCCACTCGAAGGGGAAATCTGCTCGCTATCCATCCCACTCAATCACAGTAACACTAGCTGCTGCCAGAGCACGGCCTCCGCTATCCCAGCAAGCTGCATTATGCGGACATAAATCGTAGAGTGACTTACCGACCTCTGATGGGTCAGAACAGAGCCAGACCATGTTACCTCTTAAACACAATCAAGCTCTGGCCTTCCTCCTCCCCTCCTTCCAAAGCCCAGGGGGACAATAAGTGTTGACTAATAAATAATTGAAGCATAAGAACAGTAGCTGGCTCTGTAGATCAGGTTACAGTGGGTTCATAATGGCCGGGCTTAAGAGGTCGAGGGCTCCTGGACTGTTAAGAGCAGTTTATCTGTTGGGAGTTAGAGTGTGAGCAACAGTATAAGGACAGGAAACAGGCCCTGACCACATAAACCCGCAGTATCACAGTCACAGCCTGGTTACAAATTTGCCTTGGCCACCAACACACAAACCATGTACAAACGAGCTTTCAGTTAAATAATGTTTGTTCAGGTACATAACAGTGTACGCATTGACACCTGGAAACAAAAGCAAGACTGGGTTTCATGTCAGATAATTATTTTTACTTCAATGCATGACGTCTACGGCCACTTTTAAGGTACATAAAAATGATCAACAAGGGTGTGTGAAGAATTGTGGTACTGCTGTTATTTTCCCCCATATTACCCCGAAATAAATAAATATAAATAAATAAAGTCAATTAATTAATGAATTCATCCATTTTAATTTTATTATTTCTTCTGAAACCAATCAAATCTGTATATTTAAAATTGTATTTATTTACATATTTTTATAGTAACGTATACATATTTATATATTTTGATAGTCATATTTATATATTAGTAAATTTGTGAATAAAAATGTAAACATCTAAATATTTACATAAAAATTAAACTGTTTATTTATTTAAATGCATTTTTTATTGGTTAGTCCAGTGTTTCCCAACTGGGGTGCCGTCTGTGGAAAGCAGGGGTGCCATGTAAAAAAATCCTTTTTTAATATTTTTAAATTGCTAAAATGTTCAAAAAAGCATCTATTATATAATATCCATTTCTGATGTCGCCAATAATTAGAGATGCACCGAAATTTCGGCTGCCGAAAATGAGTTCACCGCTCAGGTTTCACTTTCACGTGGTGTGACGCTTTGCGTATTATCCCGCTCTACGCATGTGCGCTCCGCTCAGTCGCTCCACTCGTATACCGTTTCATGCTCATCGGAACAGCAAAGTCCACTCAAAAATTGAGCCGACAGGAAACATCGATGTAGTACAGTATTGTTTCTGTCTGCAATAGCCCTACTGTGTTGTAACATGGTGTGGTATATGGGCAACTCTGGT